AGAGCGCTTGTTATTTTTTCGGCGATTTGAAGCCATGTTTTGTTTACGTCTGCTACTGTTATAAAAATAGACCCGCGTGTGCAGAGGAACTCCCATGTGACGCAGATAAGCTAAATATAATACTGTCTAAAATTAGTCGGGATTAACATCGTATTTACAGAAATATTTACAAGAATGCAACTATAAAATATTTTTTTCAATAAAAGCGGGAATAAAAACGTGAATCACTTATGGCACTGCACTATAGTTTCAGTCGCGGTCAAGGTTCGGAAACCACGACCCTCCGATCAAGGGGCGATCACTTTATTTGGTCAAACAGACTATTATGCTTAAAATGACAAATATTTGTAAGCTATGAGTACATAAACGAAGTTCGTGGAATTTCTTCATACAGGGTATTTTATTTATTTGTGTGATATTGGTTGAAAATTACAAATGAGAGTATATACACTTGCTGAATATTTTAAATAAAATAAAGCTTTAAATATGTATGAAAGAAACTCTATGGCAGTTGCCATAGAAACGGTTGTTTGGAAATGCGGGGGAGACCTTAACGCGTTTATAATCATTTAAATTCTTAATTCGTGAAATGAGAAAACTTCCCTATGTATGTGGTATCAAAACGAAAATTATGTAATTATTACGATTGCTTGAACTTTAAAATTTATAAACCTATGTGTGAGAGTTGTACTGATTTTACTGGATATTTAGTGCATTAGTTAATGATTTATTGTTCGTCTTTAAGTTGATAGACAAAGTCAAATTTTGGTCAAGTCATAAGTTTTGTGAAAATCCCGGGATCACTCTATCTTAAATGCGTATATTATTGACATTGGCTGGGGAAAATGCATTAAGTTACTGGTTTTTCAGTGGCATTAGAAATTTAAGAAAAATAGAACTTCCATGGACGTTGATTAAAGGTGTGGCTGCCTTTTGGAGGTTCTGTTTTAAGTGTTTATCTCCCTAGACAAATGAAAATCGTTATGGAGGGTTATCGGCTGACGAACTGTTCTTGACATTGCTTCTATATAATTTTGGAACATCATAATGAAAGATGAGGAGTTTTTTGAAATATGAGTTAAAATTAAGAAAACTTGGTTCGAGAGGATACTTAGCTTTTCTTGAGAAAAAAAAATTGTGAAGAGGCCTGCATTTTGTAGAGTTACATATTTGTATCAGACATTAGGGTGAGATGCTTCTATAAGGTGACGTAACATACTCGTATCTAGACGTTACGTCGAAGTCTCCCTCGGGTTTTACAACTATCGATTTTCAGAAAGCTCGTGTGACCTTATAGGTAATTGGAATGCGGTGAAATTTTCCAATATTGTTGCATTATGACTCTATATTATAAATATGCATATTGTTTTCTTTCATCAAATCGCAATAAAATTTTACAAAGAAATTCCAAGAACTTTTGGATCAACCCTCGTAAAGAGTTCTATTTATAATGTACATGTATGACATTTATAATCGATTGTCCTCTTTTCGAAATCTTCCAAAGTTAGAAACCGCTCTGTAACTACATCAAATCTAATTTTTTGCCCGTTATATAGTCTGGGTTTTCTCTCAATAAAGGAAGCAAATCCCTTAAATTTTATCTGTAATCTTTACCAAATAGATAAATAAAGGTCATTTGCTTTGATCTGAAAAGAAAACACTTCCTTTTTTCCTGAAACTGAAAGTCAATTAGAATGAGCTGTATCACTCAATGGTACGAAAAATATTATTTGATCGATTTTTTTTCTTTCCTATGAAATATAGAATCTGAAAATCAAAGACCAAACATTAATTTTTATCTTGTAATTAAGTAAGAGTGATTTTATCAAATGTATTTTTCTATTTCTAGAGCTTGAAAACAATTAGTATTCAAATCATTTGACTTTTTTGGTAAATTTTCCCTCTAGCATATACAATTAGAGAGGGATTTAAAGTTATCTTTAAAGCTTAAGCCAATTATAACTTTTTGGCATTGGTCTTTCGATTCAAATTGAATTAACAAACGGACAGTGTGACAGTTTTGCTTTGGGAAGACTCGGCAGAGACTTTGAATTGTTCGAATAGCCTGCAGAAAGTTAAAAAGGTGACGATAAAAAAGATTTTGAAAGAGGAAAGACACATTCAATAGCGAGACTGCAGAGGGTTGTACTGTTTTACTCTTGTGTGTTTGTCCGCAACAAATTTTCTTCGCAGCAAACTACATGTACTCATTGCTTGTTATATGAACAGATTCATTTGTATACAAATTCAGTGTCAACTTCTTGTTTATCCGTGCGTCTGTCATTTCCAATTTTTCCATTCTTTGTTTTCTCAGCAGCTACTCATAGCTGTAATTTTAGCACTCTTTGCCTATAGCTAGTCATGACATATGAGGGAGTCAATTTCAGTAAAAATTTGATGTCAACTTCTGGCTTTTTAAAACAACTCTTTGCAAGTGCCTAAAATTTTATCAAACTCTGTCTAGACATTCAATGTGATGAGATTCATTTTATACGAATCCAATGTCTACTTCAACCCTTCATCCATGCGTCTGTCCGTTCCAAATGTCCATCAGTTTTCTCAGCAACTAATCAAGGCAGATGTTTGAATGTTAAGCGCATTCTGTTTTGTCATTTCATATGATGGGATATATTCTCCTCAGAACGAGGATATTTCTAGTTGGCACTATCTTACACACTTCTTCACATATATATTTATGTGTGTTTTGATCCGAAAGCAAATAATAAAACGAAATGTTTCCCCTTAATAATCATCCAGAAAAAGATTATTTCCAAATTTTGAAGTTTTGTCTAATTTGGATTATAAGTATTTGACCTTAATTTTTTTAAAGTAGAGTCTTGACATTTTGCACTAAAATTTGGTCTGTATATAGATTTTGACCACACATTCAATATCCTTGAAGTAAATTTTAGAAATGTACTTAATAGTTCAATTTTAATCTATGTCTTCATTTTTTTCATTTTCTAACAAAAACTTGTATAATTCCCATTATGTCTAAATTTGCAGATGTAAATGAAACCCAATTTTCTTATGTAGCCCTGATAGCACAATGGAATGCATAGGCTCTCTATGGCTCTGGGTGATGGAAATGTTTTGATTCAATCTTTGATTCGGGCCTTTGCTTTTTTCCAAACAAAGGGTCCAGCCATTAGTTTCATTGGATGACCCTTCCTCAAAACAATAAATTGAGAATACTTAGAGATACTTCGAATTAAATGATTTATTGTTTTAAAAACATGTATTTCATTTTAAATCCTTGAAGCAATACAAGCTGCATTTTTGAAAATTTTATTTTGCTGTTATAATGTGTTATTATGATAAATTTGTATGCAACTTACACCTTTATGATCAATTAGACTAAAATAAAGCAGAAGAAAGGCTTCTATATTCAATCCAATATATAGTTTTATATAAGACATCATTTTTGTACAGGATGACAATAATGTAATTTTGATTCACTCGAAGCTTATAAATAGTTCTTCCAACGCAAATATGAACACCAGAAGTTTATTAACATTATTTTTTCTGTTCTTGAAATATTATTTACAATTTTGCAACAAAAAATTCCGACATGAAAGTTGCAGCTCATATTGTTTTAAGATTATTCTACACACTGTCAGTTTCAATTGGACATTAAATCAGTATAAAGCAAAGTATTTTTATAATCTATTTTTTTTTCCTTTTTATTCATAAAATATTCAGAAATCACAATCAAATGCAGTAAAATTTTCTATCCGATATTTCTTCATCAATTACTAGTAATATACATGTACAAAATTATACTATGAGAAAAATATAGTCATGTTCAATTTAAAAATCAGGAAAAAATTGATTGTCACTCGAGGAAATAAAAAAAGTGTTTTTTTTACCCTTTGCACCAATATAAATAAGTATAAATAAGTAATGAAGATCCAAAAGTAGGTAACACTATTTAAAAAACTCGACGACTTCTTTAAATACAAATAACATGTATAAAATACCCATCAGCTATTGGAGAATCATTTAATTCGTTTGGCCAGGGGTAAATATTAGTGGCCAAACATAAGTAGTTTGTAAAATTATAGATAAGGGTGACCCTTGAACATTAGTGTCTCAAAAACAATGATGATTCCACAGTGACGTTTTGGTCAGCGAGTCATTTGAAATTCGTACTGTCTGAAAATTTTGTTTTAAAAACACACACCAATAAATGAGAGTCAAATGACAGCAAAAAATGCCGCATTCATAAAACAAAATAAAAATGATGGCGCTTGTTAGAGGTTTCAGCTTTTCAAGACAAATAATACTGATTAAAAAGTCATCATTGTAATCACAGAAAGACTAGTGTATAATTATGTATAAAAATTTAAAAATAACAAAATACATGTAAATCCGTTTGTATAACGCATACAATTTAAACGTCAAAGGAAATATATTCTTTGATTAATACAAAATAACTTATCTGATCTGAATTGTCCAAATTCATAAAGGAAAAAACACAGTCCTGGAAATACTGTCGGAATGATCGTTCTTACAAAAAGCTTTAGTTAACAAAGTTTCGATTCTGACTATAGATTATTGGTGGAGGCAATGCAAGGTTATTTAAATAACAATATGAATAATAATACATTTTCTTTTAATTAAAATCGGATGCATTTTAAGAGGAAAGTAGACTTTAATTAACAAAACTCTGAAGTCATCTTTCAAAGAATGTTTGCTCGCCCTCTCTCGACTCAGGGTAAAATCATTGGATCGGTATGTAAGTTAGAAAATATTTTTTCCAGAAAATTTTAGATTATTATGCTGACGGGGGAAAGAGGAATAAAATATATATTGTCCTGGAATGTAAAAAAAAGTTCTGAGTTGGGTCATTTTAGTAAATCAGTCGGGAGAGGGGAACCAAACAATTTTTTAACGATGGCCTGTTCGTCTCTGTTTATAGATTTAAAAAAACCTAGAAACTGTTTGCAGTAATTTCATTAAATTATATCACAGATAACGATCACGACTACTCTCTATATAAAATATTATTAAATAATGGCATCACAGACAAAGGTTTGGCCAAATAGGGTTAAACTACGTAAGGTTTCTGATTTCATACTCTACTTGATTTGGTTCTTTCAGTCCATTCAGTGGAACCCTAGCGAGGTTTACACGATAAACAGGAGGATCTATTTCTATGACAGGCGAATGCTGAACCCCTTGGCTTCGGAGTTCTTTGTCGTTTTCAGACAAATATCTTTTCCGCTGAGATTTCGGAGTTGGTTTTCTGGTCGGACTTCTGTCGGAGAGGACTTCCGGCGACTTCGGCGACACTTGTCTGAGATATTGTCCATGTTCTTCTTGTTCTTCCTCGGTGTTCATTTCATCAAGTTTTTCTAGCGGTTTACGCTTCTTTTCTTTTGTTGACTTCTTCCGCCGAACGGAGGGTTTAAAAACGTCAGACCCAGCATTTTCTAAAGAAGACGTGATTGGCTCATGGGCGCTTACATCTAAATGTCTGTTGGACACTCTCTTTACACTAGGGCGTATTGGAGAGATGGATGTTATCACGGGATGGTCAAGACAGTCTGTGGTCATCAATGAATCGTTTAAATTGAGTTGGGGGTGTAGTGTCTGCATCTCATTTGATTTCTTTTTGGCCCAGACTTTATCTTCGGTGGTTGCATACTCCATATGAAGAGAGTGAATTTCGAGAAAATAGCGATCTTCGAATTTGATCTGTTTTGTTATTGGATCGGAACCCCTGATTCTCTTTTTAGTACCAGCACATGACAGAATAGTTTGAAAGCAACAGAGACATATGATGTCCTCAATAAATAGAATAACTGATAGCTGTTGCACACGCCATTGTGGAAATTGTTCCTCTAAAACGAGCGAGCAAGTCTGTGACATCATGGCTATTAAAGCATTCAACATAAGCAGATATGTAAATATGGTAAAAAGTGCAAATATTGTGATTGCAGCCCAAGGAATACGCGCTGAGTAGAGAACACTTATGTCCTCTATGCCGATTCCAAGCTTAAACATCGCCATCATCGTGCTTCCGTAAGATGTAAAATCGCTTTGTGTCTCTTCCGATCCTCTAAAGACCATGTACATTCCGGCAGTAAACGAAAAAAGTCCAAACATTATGACCAGCCCAAAGCGGAAGAGATCACCAATAATTACACGCTTTATCATTTCTGTGAAAAAACTAAAGTGCTTTATTGGTGAGAGGAAAAATATGTTTAGCCACCAGCCACATACTAATGCTATTATCAAAGGTATGTTGTCATGCTGTTCTGTAATTGTCCAGAGGACATCCACGATCATCATTACCGATAGTATCAGCATCGGTAAAATATATTCCAAATTGTGAAGTAAATAACCACGAATATTGTTTTTGCGGACCTTGGCGCTTAGCAAACAGATTGCAATAAAAGTATAAAGAATTCCAACTGAAAACGAAACCCATCGAAATCCATGCACAAAATTTTCTGAATAAGTTGTTGAATTGACGCCGCCAGTATTTGCTGTAGGGATGCTCAATTCAACATTATAGACGCTGTATATTGTTAACATGATCATGAAGGAATAATGAAAAATCATCCATAAAATGAAAAACCACTGGTAACTCTGCCATTTCATTTTTATAATATTTTTCACTGGTGCAAGTTCGATGATACGATATGCGTCTTTGTTATCGTAACCAAATTGAAAAAGCATTTCCAGTATGGATTCTGTCTCAGGGTAAGAGCAGCATTGTCCTCCGAAAGGTGCACATTGCGTTTCATTTGAATGTACAACAGTTTTTGCTATTCCGTGAATGTGTTGTGGAACTGACTTTTTGTGTGAAACTGAAGAAGGGTGGCGATGGGATGAGGCCCGAATAATACTGACAGTATCTATTTCTGTGACGTCATATTCTTTGACATCGAAGAGCCCATCGTTTGCACTGATGAAACAGTATACATCCTTGATGTTTAAAATTTCTTCAAAGAGCTCCGTTACTCCATGCTTTGCTGCAAGTTGTAGCGGGGACATGTTGTCGTTATTTTTCAAAAACCAGACGAATGAATGCGGTTCTCGGTACATTTCTGTTCCAGAATAATCGTATGTACTTCTGTCTCGATCCCTCTCCTCTATCTTTTGATTGAGGTACCGAAGCATGTGCAGCATTGTCACTACCTTCTCTGGATAGGTCGCAGAATACTTTATCAGTGAATGAAACACTGTATCACCCTCCTCGTTTTGAATGAGAATATCAGCCCCATACTGCAGTAAGATATCAACAGTATCGGCATTTCCTTTCAGAGCAGCAACCGTCAAAGGAAGCTGTCCCATCATAACAGTATTCACAAATCGAGATCCAGTTGCGCGCGTGTGCAACAGCGTGGCCATTTGAATGTCCTTAAACTGTCCAACTTCTAGCATGACTTTAATAGCCTCAATATTTCCTTTGGTAATGGCCATGTGAAGTGCTGTTTGACCACAGAACTCTAAAGATGCTTCTCTTGCCATGAGCAACAAAGAGGGACATAACTCTGAAAGTTTTCTTACAAAGGATTCATCATCATGGTATTTTACCGCCAAGTGTAGGAGAGTCTCACCTTCATGGTTAGGATTATGATACATCTGTAGCCATTTTAGGTTCCCGATTTTATCCAGCGTATCGAGCATCACATACGCGTTTTCCAAATCACCGTTAATAATTTCTTTACCTAATCCTTCAACAAATGGGACCCTTTCATTACTGTTAATCATTCGTTTAGTATGACTTCTTACGTGCTTGACACGTTCCATGGCGTGTTTTGTAATTTTCTGAGGCTGACAAGGCAATTTTCCTAGAGAAGAAACAACAATATGTGTAAGAAAACTAAAGGTTGAATTGCATAGTAACCTTTCAATTGTGAGAATTTACAGAAAGACTTCATTATTTTCGATTTCAAACGCCGTCGAAACTGAAAAATTGCCTACTCGGCTTGAAAAATATACAATCAATTAATCAATTTTAAACAGTAATGGGAATGTTTAAGAAAACTCGTTAATAAGAAAAATTTATTTCGTAACCTATTAATTAATCTATAATTTTGAAAAATTAATTTGCCCAATGTACAATCATTATGTCTTAAACAGGTAACTATCAATAGCACGAACATTTCACACAATAATTTCAACGTAAATATATACCTTTTTCCATAACGGTATTTGTTTTCCTACTTAAGCAGTTGTTATGAAATGCAATATTTAAACAAGTTTGTTAATATAACCATTTCTAAAGACAATTGTTCGGAGTTACACATTTGGGTGTCTTGACAAGGACAAAGGAACAAAACATTAAATACCCCTCCGTGTAGCTGTTTAAATAAATACACACTGTATATGTTCAAATTAATGAAAAATGATCACGGTTTGCTCATCAAAGTAAACATTCATTTTCCACTAAACACATGTATCTGTGTATTTTCTTTTAAATTAAAACCCTAGTATGGATTACCTGTACCGATATGTCTTCAGAAATTTGTGTGTCAGTAATTACAGATATCCTTTTTCACATTTTAAAGAGTGGACACTACAGCCTTGCGAAATTTAATTTATACTAAATTTTGAGCCTCTATGATTAAGAATGGGAAATTAAAAATTATTGTTCATTACTCATGGGACTTTCCGGGAGAAACAGTCATTATTATATACATGTATGTATCTATCGTAATACAAGTACTTATGTTTTCAATGAAATACAGAACAGACTTATTTAAAAAAAATGCATACAATTACTAACATTATATATAAGATTTTGAATAAGATAAGTAGCTTGAATTTAGACTACTTTCTTCAAATTCAGGACAGCAGCCAAACTTTTTAACTTATTCAATAGTCCTGGCAAAATATGTTTAAAGAACGATAACTCATTTAAATGCCCTTGACCATGAGGTTGTTTAGTATATTTAAATCCAAGATTTGTCCGAATACTTGGCCTCAGTGAATCAGTTTTGGCACAGATCCTATTCTTTGTTAAAGAAGGTTGTTTGAATAAGTAAAAATATCTTGAAAAGGACAAAGACATTTCTATCAACGGAAAATGGTGAACTTATTATTGAAATTATTCCTATTTTCACGAACACATTATTATTCTACAAGTATATGGTTTCAATTTTATTTGAAACATACAATTTAAGGAAAATTTTCAAGTAGATTACAAAGCGTTTTTGATGTATGCATTCATAAGATTTGTTACGAAACTATTTCCTGTATAGTACTGAAAAAATAGAAAAAAAATCCTCTATATGTAATAAATTCGACTTCAAAAAAAAAAAAAAGAAAGAAAGAAAAAATGTAAATCATACCCTTCGTTGTATTTTTGTTTTCCTGGATCCGTCCCTGGTTTGGACTCAGCTGCTTGGTTTCCGATGATTTGTAAAGCCCATCCTGAAAATACATCTTGATCAGCATAAAAAAATATCATTGTAAAAAAATACCCCATGTGCATTTTAAATTAGTGATTAGAAATAAATTGTTTTTAGGATTACTTTAATCCAAACTGATCTCTTTTTAAAAGGTGTAAGTTGGCATTGCCTCAATCCGGGCCGCCTATTCTCGTCTATTTCTTTATTGATTTAGTGTTTCAATCAATTATTCAATGCAGCACTCTGCAAAGAAGGCAAAACAAATTTCATTAGAAGCGAAAGTAAGGTGCAGTTTGTTTTAATACTAACAGACATTGGTAATAAAACATATTTACATTTGTAATCTATACAGTACAATGAATCAACATTCATTTGTGTATTTTTTAAAAAATATTCGAGATGTAATGATTTGAGAATCCGAATTTTTAAAATGTATTGTGCAATTTGCCTCAATTAAGCCGACGGCGAGATTTTTAAAGAAAATCAATGCTTCGTAAAATGAATGTGTATTGACTTTAGTACAAAGAATTCTGAGATTTACCATTGCCCATTCTCTCATAGGAAAAGGACGAAATATCTATATAATACAAAATTTAGAACATTTGCTGGAATTCCATATTCAACAAATTTCATTTTTTTTAAAATTATACCTGGCTCGGATAAGAAAGTAAAAAAGTACTTGCCTATTGGAAAATGCGTAGAACTTTTTCGTCCATATTAAATGTGTAATTTCTTTGTTTACGTGACCCACGTGCTCCTCAAATCAGCTGGCCTGGGGGATTTAAATTTGTAAATTCGTATATAAATATCCCATACACGTCATACCTGTCCTCCTGAGGTGTCCGTCAGAACTCGTACTACAATGCTAATTTTCTGATACACACAGTCAACACAGGATTGACCTTTTCTGAGTCATGTCCAGTTTTATTCCATAACATGTAAATTCCAGCTGGTTTTTCTAACTCAATTAAATTAAGATTGTGGAAAATTCTTTTCTCCCTGTTTTAATATTTTATATAAATTTTGTTGCAAGCCTTCACAATCGGCACGATCTTCTGCAGATTCGGTGAAATGCGATAAAGGTGCTGGTTTACCTAGACATTCATTGATTTTCTGATCAAGGTATTTATCCATTGATTACAAGGTATACATAGGGCCGTAGTATACTCGATCAAAGGCCAGGAGCTGTGCTATTCACCTTTGAACTTCTTATGTTATTGATGCAAAAGATAAATATTTGATAATCTTTTTTGATTTGAATTTCTGCATACCGAGCAGTTATTCCATGCAGGTAATATTCATCTCCAGTGTACAAAATCAATAACTTGAAAATCATGGTAAAAGCTTTGAGAAAAGTCAGTCATTAACAAGTAAAGAAACAATAAGAAACAAATATATCTCGTTTTTATCTGATAAATGCTTGAAATTTGTTTGGCTGCATTTAAATTTGATTTATACAGCTTTGTACTCTTTTAGACAAAGCAACTAATAGGAATAATTAATGTTCATATTACACTTTCATGTAAATGAATTATATAGAAACAAGAGATGTTTGTAAAACACTTATTTCCCCCTTCCCCAAATAATTAGAATTTTTCTAATTCCAAGGGGCATATCTCTGTCCAAAATGGATCGGTCGTACCCAGAACAGAACTTGACGTAGATACTTTTTATAATAAATCTGTATATCAAAACACATTCCAATATGCAACTCCTGCAAAGAAAGAGAACGGAAACTGCAAATAATTGGATTTTTTCTCTAATTCCAAGGGGCATAACTGTCCAAAATGGCTCGATCGTACCCAAAACAAATCTGTATGCCAAATTTCATTTCAATACGTGCAACCTCTGCAAAGAAAATGAACGGAAACTGCAAATAATCAGAATTTTTGATTTAATGAAATGGATTGAACAGCAGGCATAAATGCCTTTAATCGTTCTCTCCATAAAATCAGAATTTTTCTAAGTACAAGGGACATAACTCTGTCCAAAATGGCTTGATTGTATCCAAATCAGGATTTGACTTAGATTACGATAAATCTGTGCCAAATTTCATTTCCATATGTGAATCCTCTACAAGGGGGGGGGGGGCATAATAACGAACAGTAATCAAGCTCAAAAGTCCAAGAGCAACCATGGACCTCCAAAATACCAGAGGTGGGACCAAGTGCCATGGAGAAGTAGAATCACATTTGTTAAAAAACTCAAGTACCCGCTATTTAATGAAAACACGCCCTCCGGCGTAGCAACAGTCATCATTGACGAATGTATGCGTACAAGGCTACTGTAATACATATCTGTATAAACATTCAGTATAAATGACAAATTTTGCATGTAGTTGAGTGTATTACATTGAAATTTTCATACCATCAAAAAACCATTGTCAACCTTGGCTGTGCTAATCAGTTCACAATCTTGAGATATTTTCAATGGTACATTTAACTACATTTAAAATCTAACAATTCAAGTCTAATAATTATAAATTTAATAATATCTAATTAATAGTTATCAAAAATAAGTTTAACGTAATAAAAAAATCTCAATATTTAGGATATTATGTACATTGAAATTTCATAAACCTAATTTTTATCCCTTTTCGGACTGCTACAAATGCATTTCGTTTCAGAAGAATAGGAATTTAGATTAAGGCGAATTTACATGATAATTATAAATAATAATCGATTTGGATATGTATAATGGTTTGAACATATTTTATTGTATAAATACTATACAAATGGTTTGAACACAAGTTCTAACAACTTACTAGGTTCTCACCATACAACTGTCAATATATATACATAGGGAAAATAAGTGAAAAGGAATATTGATGTACAAACAAGTTTGTTAAATTGAAACATACATTTGTTACATAATTATGATAAATATATAATTATATAGATATATAGAGTGTAAGTGTTAGGCAGTAATAGTTAATTAAATCTACCAGAATCTCTTATAAATTTATGAACTGACTGAAAAATATATTTATTGATTTCTACATTTTGTGACTCATCTCCCCACAGAAGTAAATGACAATCAATAATGTTCAATTTGATATTTGGTTTCGTAAGACACAGTAAATCTCTGAATAGCTTTTCTCTAGCATATTGGTACTTATTGCAGACAAAGAAAAAATGATATGGGTCTTCTGGTGTACCACATGAACAGTTAGGACTCTCGATAATGTTTCTTCTATAAAGATCATAATTTAAAATGCAATTGTGTCGTAGTTTAGTATGTATGATATTAAGTCGTCTATTACCATGGGAGAAATAAGAAGGGGGGTCTGCTGGTTTTTTATGTATGTTATTTTTAAAGCTGCTAAAAGATATGCTGTTTCTAGTGGTGATACTCAGACTATTCCATTGGTTTATTGTATCAGGAACAAAAGATTTC